GCGCTGTTGCAACTAAAATTCCTAGGGTTTCTACGCACCGACCACAAGAGCTTAGGAAAAAATAAGTAGTCAGAGTGTGGGAACTAGAACACTTGCTTCCGAGCTAGATTATCTGGGTCCACGATTGTCTCGTTAACTGATGGGTAAAATTGTGACTTAGTGGTAGTATACAGTTAACCTAAACACTGTAAATAGCTTGTAGAAAATTAGGTATTCCTGACGTTGGCTAACCTCATTTCGATAACGCGGGCCTTAGATCGGAATAAGTTTTGCCGTTAGCAGAGCGGCCCACACTGACGCCTAAGGAGAAGTCGGTTAACCACTTTATTGACAGCCTGAATTGCTGAACATTGCCTTGTGAACAGTATCATACTACTAATAATGTAGGTGGAGATTCTTCGACATTCCGTGACCGGTTCTTCTCCTCTTGAGACACATCAGGTAGATGCAGTCCCTGCGCTTCCATCAAATCGATGGTCTGCCTGAATTCAAGTTTCACAGAATTCGACAAAAACAGATTTGCATGTCAATTTGGTTTACACGTGGCACCTACCTGAAACCCCACTGAAAAAAACAATTTCAGTGGGTTGCGAATGAGTCTCCCGTGAAAACCAAATTGGTGTACACTGAACTCTACTTGTCAAAAACCACAAAAGCTTCGGCGAACAAGTGGTCCCGTCCACGGAATTTATTGGATTTTCTCTAGCTGCTTATAGTACACCTTTAGCCATCAAGGATTCACGCAGGCCATTAGTCAGTGGTATGCAAACAAAGTCGGACTGCAACCTCGTGCGGAAGACATGAAAGTATATCTTATGAATTAATTTGCATGATCCTTTCAGACAGTGCACGTTGAAATTGTGATGCATCCGGTGTTTACAGAATTTTCCATCAGTTGCTTCATTTGACCGCTCCCATCTGGGTTGTTGCGCGCTTTGTTGTCGTCTCTCCAAGAAGTGTATGTAGATTTGGGGCCATTTACAATCAAGATTTCAAAAGACCGGCTTTGAGTTAAATGACTTTGAAGGACCTCATTGTATACAATGAGTACTTGGTGGATCAGTCTGGCGGCACAATCATCGAGGTTATCCACACAGACTCGACCTCGGCTTCTACGATCGCTTGGAAGATTAATAAATATGATTGTCACACCCAGTTGACAGAGACATCATGTGAGAAGCCAGTCGGAACGTGACTATGGGACCAACTGGTGGGATTCCCGTGGCTTCAAAATGAAAGGGCCTTCCCCTGTTCACGTTTCCGCTAGTTAGTGACACTGCTGATCAACCGTTCGTTGTCGAACGGTTAGGCATTCACACTCGCCGGAAGGTCGAATATCCGAAGCTGTCCGATGCTCCAAAGTGAAGATAAAATAAATGTGCAATGCTTCACTGCTTTTCAGCGTAGATTGCCTACACAGACAGGACGAAATCTCAATTCGAAATGCAGAACAGTCGAGCTGTCTGAGATATGAGACGCCTGACTGATAGCGAAAACTGGATCTTATTTGCTAAACATGTTTCCTTGCTGGCTTGGGAAGATGTCCTTTTTCATACTTACTTATTTTAACCACGAAAATGATCACAAATGCGACAAGTAATCCAAGTTAAGATCTTCGATGCGCAAGGAATTCTTCAGAATGCAAAAAATTCGTCGAAAACCTGGAAGCGCCAAATTAAAATGGAGTTCTACAGTTTCAGGCGAGACAGTGGTTGGAGCTATCGTCGCATCCTAACCCCAAAATTAGTTTGTCTATCTGCAGTCACTTACATTTCCTACATATGCATTACTGTATACAGACACGCATGCTTTTGATTGGCGAGTGTCGAATGATTCGTCAAGGAGATTCGAACCCGTGACCTCGAGGTCAGTTGAACGCTTAACCTTTAAACCACAAGCGGCTGGTCAGCCCTGTGATCTGTATACATTTGTTTTACAGTGGGGTACAAACTTAGAAGAATGATCTCTGTGTCGGAAAGAGATATCTTATCAGAAACCAAATATGGAACGATTCAGTATCGGCCTTACAATGCAAACTGGGGCTAGACGCAGATGTCAGGCATTCACACAAACTAGGTCAGTAGCCTTGATATTCTCTGTTTACCTGAAACTTTTTCGGATCAAACAGTTGTTTCCGTCTTTTGAACTTGTTGTATTCCGGAAAATGGTAGGCGATTGCATCGAACTGGAGTTTTGAACTGCTGTGACATTTACTGCGACCAGTAGAACATACTACCGAAAAGTCACCAAACGTAAGACCGAAATACGTACCCATCTAGTAGTCCACACCAACTCGCTCGTTCTTTGCCATTTCCGCTCGCTGTACTTCGTATCCAGAACGTGCTCAGCTTGCCTACTTGTCTTGCTGCTTACTGGAACATCAAACCTCGATGTTTGCATATACGTTCAACCGGTCCTGGTGTTTGCTGTCAATTGCGTTGCAACACGGTTACGGTAACGTTCAACAGTTGAACTTCCCAAGTAGTCTATGTTTGAAGCATACCTTCCGGATAATCTGAACTGACTGCAACAAATGGCATTCTTTTGCATTCTTGGCAGTAACTACAGTCTCAGGGACTAAGCCTTCGGATCATTCTCAGTAATACTAGAAGATGCCGGTTCGTTCGTTTTTTCCGGTGTACTTCAAGAGATGCGTACGACGGATGTAACTGGATCTCCTGGTTATTCTAAGTTAGGTCTTATTAGAATTCGTTTTGTCTTCTAAAGTCATAAATCCAAATGTTCATGAGAAAATTTTCTTAAAGTGTCGACTTTTTATATGATTCTAGTCTTTTCTGAAGCCCTCTGACTGGAAAACAATATTTGGGGACTTGGAAAATGGGCCTAAATGTTCAGGAAGTACAAAATCTAAGAAGTTTAGAAGAACACTTCTATCGAATAATAGTACCGTTTTCACAAGAATTCGGTTTGACCGGAGGATTAACTGAATCCAGCTAACTGAATCTCTCGCTTTTGATGGTTCACTTATGCTGAATTCGGTGCACCGTCAGTATTATGAGTAGGGTGTTACGTTTAGACAACAACGTATTGCTATATCTCGAATATCATACTCAGTTAAATAAGAGAGGAAACAGTTGGAGTGGACCATCCTAAACGGTAAATTCATCTGGAATTAGTTATTTCTAGTCACCTGTAAAAACTACACTCGTTTGCAGATGCGAGTATCTGTCAAATCTCTCCAACTGGGCTTCACGTAGCGCATCATCTTGACAGGGAATCTGGGAATACGCCTACCTGGTGAGCCTAAAAATGCCACAAACTGTTGCGTGTTGCCGAAGAGTTCTCAGCAAATTTGTGAGTAGTATGTTGCTGTTGTATCATCGTTCCTCTTCCTTGATTGTGGATTCAATATAAAAACAACTGTTTCAGATATCATGACATTTATGGTGCGTATAGGTATTGTCTAGCCTACAGAACGTATCATCAACATTGACGAGCAATTTTGTACCCATCCAGATTTCCAGTAAAGATAACAGCTGAAGCCGGTCAAATTGGTTTTCCGTCGCCATGTAATTAATTTGCCCATGAAGATCCTGGAAGAACGTACCGTTGAAGTCTTTACTAGGTAATTCGGTTTGACGCCACAAGCATTCTACTTTGATTGTCTCCTCAAGGGGAGCACACGTCTGGGCGGGAGTCTGAAAGATCTCAACAAAATCAGGCAAATTTCTCTACTTTTGGGTAGCCAATAAACTTTTCATCAGCTCAATAGGCAATGAAAGCCAAATGGCTGGTTGTTCGAGGTACATTTAGAAACACGGAATTTAATGGTCTGTGAACAAAACTATTGACTACTTTCCAGATTGCAACATATGAACAGCCACAGCGGTAGGCATGTTACAGCAGTAGGACTTGGATGCCACAAACCATAATAACTGTTTTTGATACTTGGCTTCATTGTATTTGTTAGTTCAGGGTTGAATCATGCTAGCCTCCTGAATACATCTAACCCGAAATTATACGGGATCTAAGGCTCTTGGTTCGCTGTGTTCACTTCAGTGCCAGATGTGTGTGGGTACGTCAAATTCTTTCGCTTTAAACTAAGTTTCGGATGTATGCAGGCAACTAATGAGGTAGACGAACTAGATCCTTTCATTCAATCCTCCTAGGATCCTTTTTTCCTGTCATGGAATTCATAGAATGAAATGGATGGTTGCAGTATTACTCCAACTGATTACACGCCACGGTATAATAAACATAAGTAAATACTTTGGGAAACTGATTTCCTGTTGACTGAGACTCCCTGGATCTAGTCCGATAAATGAAATTTAAAAATGCAAATATTTCCTTGTAACAAATAATGAGAAGTATTCACCTCGTATAAACAAAAACGGCTCAATCTTGGATACGGCGTTTGCTATATTTCGTTTTGTCATTCGAAAGCATCAAGTGAACACCATAAAGATACCATCCTACGGTGATCATCTCGAGGTTGATTTCAACTTCATCACGTAAAGGTTGACGAAGGAACGCTGTGGAAAACCTAAATGTACAAAAACATCAATACGACCTGCCTTATTTGTGAGTGCTGGTTTCTTGCAGACGACTACTTCTCGTGTGGAGAAAAAATCAACCCGAATACAAAACCACTTTTGTGAACAGAGAGCCGTTCCGTAGCCCACTCATGTGATTGAAAAATCCGAGATCAGTGTGCCTGGCATGCTTTTTTCAGTCTTTGACATACTACAAGCCCGGGGTTATGTCCTTTGATTGTATCAGATAATTCAAGCGTCCACCCCGGAAGTGACTTTGGTCTATTGACTAGTCTAATCAGACATGTTCGAATGCCAGAATTAGGGACAGTGAAATTGAGTATCAGCTGCCGGGAAATATGTGGTAAATGACTTGTATCTCCATTTTACCTGATACCGAGTTTTTCATGGTCCAACAGTTTTACACCAAGATTTCTGAGCATTTTTTTCATATTCCTCTTTACATTCAGCTTCAGCAGTCAGGACCGAGTCAGCCTCTTGAATTCAATGTGGCTTGTTGCCGTAACTTTCCTCAGCATCGGGTACGGCGATATCGTTCCTCATACGTACTGTGGACGCGCTATTGCTCTGGCGACTGGCGTAATGGTGAGTTCTAACTAGATTTTATTGAACCCTTTTCGGCTACACGCATTGGTCCTCATTTTCAATCGAACTGATGCAGACAAACAGAAGTCCGAATCACCTTAGAGAACCATCTTAAAGAGCCTTTATCTACCTTGACTGAAGTTTCGAAATACCCCTCCTTCCCCTTCGATGTCTTCAAGTGTCTTTCAAAGCATAGCGGACCTATAGGTGTATGATTTTTCACACAATTCTGATGAGAGTAAAGGAAACACTAAGGTAAGCGAATATACACTCATTTGCAAACTAATTTTGTTTTTCGAGAGACTTACCTGTAACCCAGCTGAATCTCTCGTTTGTGATGTTTTCAGGCAACTGACTGTGCTGCACCAGGCCGCCTCATTTTTCAGTCGCTACGATATTCGAGATATCGCAATACATGTATGTTTGTAATGTACTACTCATAAGGCTTCTGAAAATCCGTCGACAGCCCACGACCGGTTTCGCCCTTTTTGGGGCTCATCAGGTAGGCGCAGTCCCCTGGTTTCCGTCAACCTTATGTTCTACTTGTCTTGATAGAGGAATAAGTACTTAGACCAAGCTAAACAGACACAGTGATTCTACTTTAGAGAGAGGAAGAACACTCATCGGGCCGAACAAGATCTCTTTTCTTAATAGAACCTTCTATCCGTGGATGTGAATATGCGTAATAATTGACATCAAACCAGGGGTTTACTTGCGCGGTTCCAAGGTCATTTTTACTACGTCCTCTCCAGATGTTGATGGGACTAATCACGTCTGCTCTCTATTTATGTTTTACTGTTTTATAATTATCGTCTTCAGGGGCTTTTGAAATTTTTAAATAGACAGTTCCTGCGTTAGTACCACAGATAGCAGTCCAATTTTCATCCACCGCAGTTTGTCACTTCAACTAGCTATTGCTTTGCATCTGGCTGTATCTGATGGTCTCTACCAGCGCCCACTGAAAGCTTTCCGTTTCAACCCTCACTGCCTATCACGTAGGCCATTGTGAAAGCTTGCCATTTGAAATTCCATGACTGAATCGAAATGTTACAGATTACTAAGGTGTACGAGAAGTAAAACTCAACAGTGAAAGTGATTGTTAGCTTTAGAAAGACTGGGGTGAAATACTTCAACATAAATAACCACTGCGAATTTCAACGTCCCCTTGTTTGATATGGGCAAATACTGAAATCATGTCAATCGTAATGGGAAGTTCCAAGGTGGCCCTAGTCTTCAACAGAAAGCGGGGTCTACATGCTACCGACGGATGATTATCAAGGAATGGCTTTTAACGGAGAAACACATCTTACCTTGGATGTTTTCTACT